AAGTGACTAAAAAGTAATGTCTCTTGTATTCTTACAAATAAATAGTCAGCCCACTGTTTTCTTGCGCTATCCAAAGCCTTTTGTCTAAGATACATCATCTGTCGATATCTGCTGTCTGGCCACTCTGCTGGGCCCACAGCATCATCATACTTACTAGGTGTATCAGACACATTTACCAAAACTCTGTGGTATAAATGTTTTACATTTTGAGACCATTCTTGTAGTATCTTTGATGTATTGTCTTCATTATGGTCTGATCTGATCCTGGATAAAACCAAAAAAGACAGGTACTTATCCTTGTAGACAGTTTTTTGTACCCCATCCAACATTTAGACATAAGTTTAATAAATAAGTTTTTTCAAAGTTCAGAAATCCCACAAGGCCACATTCTAGAATAAACCCTGTAGTACTATGGCCCCGATGCCACTTTAACAGCCTACAGAGAAAGAGTACCACATAACCCCATACATTAATTATGCATTCCACTTCTTTGTCTTTCACAACAAAACTTAAAAACAAAGTCTACTAGTCTGAATGCATAATTAATGTATGGGGTTATATGGTACTCTTGCCGCCTACAGTTTATACATGTTATCAACCATTGGGTGATTACAAGCTATGACCCACAAGTGAATAACATTTAACTTGTCCCTAGGCCTATCACATGCACTATCCTCCAAATAGGTAATAATAGTACTAAAACTCATCAGGTAGAAGTTGTTATCTTGATCTAACACCAAACTCATAAGATAATTTACAAAAAAATGGGTAGCAGCTAGAGGGAAGAATTAACAATGAGATCTATGAAGTTGAACGGTTAAAACGAAGTTCATTATTGTAACTCAAAAAAGTGCCCAATATAGGCTAAGAGTCCAACATTTTATCAAGTAAGATTTCCTCTAGGGAATTATTGTCATTAATTTTAAAACCTGAAAAAGCTTAGCTTGCAGATAGGCTTTTCACTCATGCATAACTTAAGAAAAAAATTGTCCAAAATCTCCAAGATACTAAGGAAACTACTCCGGGAAGATTAAGTTCTCACTCAGTCCCCCACGAGATGTAAAGGAATTCGAAAAATGACATGACACGTTGGCACGGTCTCTGCGAATTTCCTACAACCTTATTGGACATCAAAAGAGCGAGAAGGCTTAAGTTTTGACTAAACCAACCTTTTCACGGTTCGATTACCCTCTCTGTTACTGTGGAAGCAAGAACTGTTCGGAGCATTTAAAGGAAATGCCACGGATTTGAGACACACAGAAAGTTTATTAATTTGAAAGTGTCACTTTTTCAGTCTGAATGAGCTCTTGTGGGCAAGCTGCAATTTTCACGGAATAACGGTTTTCGTACGTTACTCATGGTTATGGCTCAATGCTATACGAGTTTCTGAGACGAAACAACATATGCGAAAAAGATACTTACCAAACAGACATTCGATTTTTTGGGTAATCCAAATTCTCGATGCATGCGAGCCAATTCGGCAGAAGATGAGCGGCGTTACGAGCTATGATCGCTAAAAACACGCCGGGATCTCTCACAGCGGACTCCTTTGAACGATTATAAACGACATCCGAGATCTTTGAGTCCGCTGATGAAATCTGTAAACTTGTAAATAGAAGAGTAATCAAAAATAAATAACTACACCCAGCCATCACTAATCGATTTTTGCGGAGATTTGCGAAGAATTACTTCTTGTTCAGACCATCGTCCTTTGCAGATAAGTGGACCGGAAGTAAAACCTGATTGCTTAACTGTCACGCAAGGAATTCAGTTTATCAAAGGATTTTTGTCCCAGTGATTTTCTAGAAGACATAAGTATAAGACAAAAGACAAAAAGAAAGAAAACCGATTGCGTATCAGGATTTTCTAAATAGGCTACGATCTGTTTGTGTTAGAAACCTTACAATCGGCTCTTCTCCTCGACTCCTTGCATACTAACTATGCTCCTTGCACCCAAAGGCGCGAAAAGCTGAAAGCATGGATTCTCGCGCGAGATCGTGAAAGCCTCGCAAAGTGCGAAGTAAGCCATAGCTTATGAGAAGCCAATTTCTCCCTCTTCGACGAGCTGGATGGGGATGGTAAAGGGGATGGGTAATTATTCTTTCTGTTTCGTTCTTTACTTGTTCCTCCATCCATTTTTACCCTCTGTCCAGAGTTAGCGATTTCATGTTTGTGTTTAATTAAGAATAGAACGAAGGCAGTACTTTTATTGTGTCTTCCCTTCTTTTTCTTCATTTGAACATTCCCCGTTATATAAACATTTTTCGACCTTTTTTTGATTATTTCACATTTAGCTGACTTTTCATTTGAGTTGATCACCTAATACCGATAAATCAAACGATAAATTTTGCTGAATTATTTTTTCCGTTCATCTTGATAGCACAACAAAGTGCAGAGCTAGAAGAGCTTAGTATCATTGCATATTATGTCTCATTTCCAGATGGCTCGTGCCTTTTCATTTGCCAGTGAGAGCATTTAACTTTATCTATGTCTAGTGTCTGTCTCCAACAGTAGCCCTATAGGCTCGCAGTGTAAAGTAAGCTTTTTACGTTTTTACTCGGCTCGATTACCAACCGCTGTTCGGGAACCGGAGTCCGCGCACCTCCCTGAACCCACTTCTCGGGGAGGAACGAGAAAGACCGGACCCTAGAGAGGGGCGAAAATCGAGCCTTCGTTTTTACAGGAACTCACAACCTCCATGCCAAAGACTTGCATCCTGTCTGTATTCGAAGGGGGCTGCTTTGGCCAGCTTAATCAGCGCAAAAAATTTTTAAAACAGAACTGTGAAATATTCAGCAGGCAACCGTGGAAGATACTCCTACTCTTGTACGTTGGATTACATCATACAGCTATCTACGAAGCATCACCCCAATTCTCTAGATCTGTTAATTCCCACTGCACCTGAAGAAGGCTGGTTTGGCCAGCCGAAATATAGTGCTCCGTCTTAAAATTTACTTATCTACGTTGTATCGGTCTTGCCTCTATATTTAAAACAGAGTTCTAATTTCTACGTGTCTCTACTTTGATATTCTTTTGTGAAAGGGTATTCCCACCCCTTCCCCCCATTTTAGACATGAACATGTTCACGCGGTATGATAGTTGAAATCTTTTACAATTCTTCTTATTTTTATAGTATATTGAAGAAAAGTAACTGAAAAAGCGCCACTCGCTGTTTCATCTGGCAAATCAAATCTTGATTCCTTTATCCGGATCAATAAGTCGACCCTTAGTAAAATTTTACCTGCCTTTTCAGGTTTGATAACTTCGAAAATATCAATCAAACAAAACAACTTGTCGTCCTCATAAGTTCTTTCAGCGATATTTCATCTCCTGTCAAGCATTCCATAATGGCCTTTGATGGAGAATATGAGAGTTGTGCCTCAGTGGCGTTATATGTACAAAAGTGGCGAGAATAAAGGAGAGATATTTCAGACACAGAAATAAAAAGGCTCTTCCTCAGAGCATAGAAACTCTTATAAAAGGAGAGTAATCACCGGTGTTTAATTTGCGCATCTTTTATCGCATGCCTTAGGGCCTCGTCCAGCTGACTCCGTTTTAAACTGTTTTGGTTTTATCAAGTGATGTCTTTTTTGTTGTCTCACCTTAAATGACCACAAGATATTTTTACATTTAACGAAATTCTTTCTCAGAGAAAAAAACAGTGGGAAAATTCTTCTCTCCGCCAACGTTTTATTAGGTTAGCCTTCGTTTCTGTTTGTTCGACTTATGTCGTATTTCCAGTCGTGATAAACTGTTCACAGCTTTGTGAGCCAATTGAAGCCCATTCAATTTTCTTCTTAACTTTTCGTGATAGAATTTCTGGTCAGTCAATCTGCTGTTCCGCGGTGTATTTCCAACCTCTGTTCTCTCTTGGGGACTGGACACAGAATGACGTCGTTTCTCCATTTCATCCCTGTTCCTCATTTCGTCATCATAGTCGTCGTCGTCATCATCATCCGCGGCCGGGCCTTCATCGTCCTCTCGCCCAATTCCCGTCATTTGTTGTTGAGCCATAAGCATCATTTGTTCTTGGATCTTCTGCTTTTCATGACGGTTCTCTTTTTCTCTGTCTTCCATATGATTAAGCACATGTTTCAGCTGAGTAGCAAGCGTGTGAGCCAGGCTTTTCCAGTCCTTTGAATCACTCATGCGAACAACGGCGTAGTTTGGCGGAGGTGACCCAGGACTCGCCTCACTAGGACTTCGATAGGGCCCATTCTGTTGCGAAAGGGCCAGGGCGCTGGCTCGGGCACGGTCCAGATTTTGTGCCTGTGCAACCTCGGCATTATATTCACTTGCGTCCATTCCTGCGATCAACTCGGGGCCGTCTTCCAGCGATTTGGAATCAGCAGGAAAATCCTGAGTGGGCTCTTGAATAAGTCTGGTATGGCCATGATGACTGTGGTCCTTGTCAAACAACTTAATCACATTTTTAATGGCGCTCGTGGCCGCTCTGATTTTAGCTTCTTCTTCATCTGCCTTGGCCCGGGCCTCTTCGTTTTCACTCTGGAGTAGATAAGTGGGCGAGGGCAAGCCTTCTGGATGGTCCTCTGTAGTGTAACTTACTCCAGTTGCAGTAGGGGATTTTTTCACCTTGAAAACAGCTTCACCAGTTCCGGGCCTCTCGTTGATGGTAAGTGTGACTTGTTTCCCCGATGGTTTTGAGACGCGAGGCTTGCTTCGAAACGATGGGTTCATCTGTTAAAGAAAGATAGGACCTGTTTTTGTCGACTCTTCCTACTGTTTCTTGTAGGATTTCTAAGGGTCATTATCATCCATTTCGAATAAAACAAAAGCGGCACCTAAAATGTTGGAGTACTAATCACGGCAGGAGATTGATTTTTCTTCTACTTTTTAGGGGGGGTGGGGGGCAAGTTTTCTAAAACAATCGCAAAGCGAAGAAAACCAAAACTAATGTAATCCTGTGTTATTTTAGACACGCGGTTAAGAAATTGTCTGAACATGCACTAACCTGTAAAGGATTGTTTATGTTGCCATGCTTGTTGCCCGCAACCATGGAGTCTGTTGGCATGCTTCCCTCTGAACGATTGAGCTTAACAAAGTTTTCAACCATGCTTGTTGAATTAACCTCAGAAGTGTTAGGAAGTACATGCACTGCTATTTGTTCAAACGCTTTCTGGTTTGTTGTATCGTCAGAACTTATTGGCAAGATGGAGTGTGTGTTTTTTACTCTGCCTCTGTGCGTCACTTTGCTTTGTAAAGTGCTCATCTCCTGAGAATCTAAACTCTGTGCACCCAAGTTCAACTGCAACGCATTTGAATCTGCGTTACCTTCATTAGTTTCTTCATGCATATATTGATTAGCAGCAACTGGCTGTAAGCGCCCGTTTACGGAAGCTGCATTGTCTAGTAACTCTACAATCTCCTTTAAGTCCGACTCAGGGACATTATCTTCTGTGCGAAACCTACTGCTCGGCGATTTGCGTTCCTGGGCAGCCTCAGTAAGAGAAGTACCATTGTCTCTGAATGCTAATAGCTTACCATGAATTGGCGCATCATGCGGACCTACATTATTCTTTGTTTCTCCATCAGAGGCTGGGAAATCGGTAGCGTTGTTCAGATCATCATACACCCTTTGACTTGACTTTTCTCCGAGTCCGTATCCCATTAAGAGCACAATAGGATTAGTTCCTTTATCAGGCTTTTCGCCTACCTGTGTTTTACCGCTAATTGTAGGACCATCCTGTGGATGTGTTTTTTGTTCTTGTTCTGCTGATGAAACGTTTAAAGAAAATGACATCTTTCCCTTTGTTTCACCATTCGTGGGCACCATTGCACTTTGAACACCAATGCGAGCCTCGTCAAGCTGACCACCAGCGTTTGGAGGAGCTGAATAAATCAAATGAAGAACAAAAAATATATCTGAGTTGGATAAAAATACACTATCAGCTTAGCTTTATGGCGCCGCGAGGAACCTTTGTGTAACCCGAAGTGAACCGATGTAGTTTAAGATCAATTAATGATGATTGCTCTGCGGAGCTGTGATCATTAACAGTGCGGTATTTAGTTGCCTTTTGGTTCCATCGCGGAGTTATTAATTTAAGCAAAATTTTATCATCCAGGTATATTTTACCATTTGCAAGTTTATTGACAATAATTTTTTTCTTTTTAAAATATTGTTGCTGCCGGCAAACAGTGAAAACTTGTTATCATTGTGACAGCTTGTGAAATGGGTTGTATGACGATACCACAGAGCTGGTTCACCTGTAGCCTGCCGTTAGAAACTTGCACCGTGATTTTGACTCACACCTGATAATTCATTGTGATCAATTTCTCCTTCCAGCTGAGTTGCTATTGCTCTAGCTGCATCTTCCACTTGTGGTGTTGTCTCTTTTCCCAGTATTTGCACCGGTGGTTGCTTGGGTACCTTTGTGGACGATACATGCGCATTGACTGGTTCCTTCAATTGCCCCCAGACCCCCTTTATATCTATCACGCGCCACTGCTTTTGGCCTGGAACTTAAAACATACAGTTGTTCTAAACATACCGAAATATATTTTTAGCTTGGTTGAGTCTTTTATTGGCTGATCACAGAGGAGATTAGCTGTTCAAGTCACAAAACGGAAAACCAAGTCAAGTTGATGCCTGAACATCGCGACCAACCACTCCATAGCTGATTTGAATTTGTATCTCCCCCCCCCCCCCCATCTTGCTTGATCCGAAAACGGATCGAACCATACATGATTTCTTGTATTAGAATTAGAAAAGAACCTTTTGTTCCTTTTGGTAAGCCATGAGAAGTTTGTATCGGAAGGTATTCGGAATTGTTGTGGTTTTCTTTTACTTCGCTGTTTGACTGGTCTAAAAAATTAGATAAAGACTGATAGTTTCTAAAGAAACTGTTTGGGGCTGCGTCGCTGGGGGTAACGAAATAATTTGAATATATCAACGAAGTTGAAATGGTAAATTGGCCACCGTTACGATTATAAAAGCTGACGTTTCGAGCGTTAGCCCTTCGTCGGAGCGAATAGTGGAATTGTGGGTTGTGTGTGCTTTTAAAGGCAGAAAAAGGAGCTACGTGATTGGTGGGAACATGGCAAAGAGAAAAACACGAATAAATTTGTGGAATGAAAAGCGTTCGTTGATACCTGTGGGATTTAGACCGCCGGTTTGAAAGATAAGCTTTTGTTCAAGAGTTTTCCGGGTTCTGTCCTGGTGTACCGGTTCACAAGGGAATTACCATTGTTCTTTCTTTGTTTAGGAGTCATTGGTTAGCTGTTGTGCATTGTTGGGTCTTTTGTAACGGCTCTTGTGAACCGGTACACGAGGACAGAACCTACTGAAAGTAATGAGTAAGTCACTATGAACAACTAGTGCAAAGTGACAGCACTATCGAGCCAAACTGAGAACTGTTCTTTAATGATTTTTAACATGAACCACCAATTCTTACTATTTTTAATTTCTGCGTTTTAATAGACTTTGACATGTTCTTGAGAAGATATTAAATCGGTTAGCGCTGTTGTTCCCTTCTAAATTATTTTGGTGGAAGCGCCTCAGAAGACACTGGTTTAACTAAAACCATGTTGGGCGACGTTACATTTTGACTGCACAACCCGCAATTAAATTTAATTTTAACAGCTATTCGAGTGTGTGAAGAACGGAAAAGAGCAAAATTACATACCATCGGCCTTTCGATGCACGGACGAATTAAAACTTTTTACAATTCCACTTATCCATTGCTTGTAACTGATAGACCTTGTCCTTATTCTTGCGGGAGGCCGTACGATCTGTTGTCCATTGTAGAACTTGGCAAACTTAGCGCACTCTGCCTCGAGCGCAACAATGTGATCTTTCGATTCTCTATCTCACTAGCGCAGTTGTTGTGTTGAACATGGACNGTTGATATATTCAAATTGGTTCTAAAAAATAGAGCTGCCAATCTTTGATTCAACCAATCATGATCAGATGCTCTCCTGGCAGGTTAATTGTTTTAACTTATTTCTCTTTGGACATTTTCTACAGCTCTGATTGGCCAGTACGGCTTTGTGTTGACTTTTATTTTTGGTATCACGTTTTTTCTTTTTGCTTGTGAGACGTTGAGATATCTCACAAATAAGTCATAAATTGCTGACCGACCAGGAAAAAAACCCTCAAAACGGCCACGGATGATTTATCATTGCCAATTCATGTCCATGATCGATTGGAAATTAAATTGACTTTCTCCTGTTTGTGATCAGCAATGATGCGATAACAAAATTGTAATACTTACCACAGTACTGGCAAGTTTTGTTACAAACGTGCTGCATTTGTCGACGATATTTGAAGCAGAAACCCATATCTTTCCACACGTGACATCTTCTCAGCACCTCCTTAAAGTCACCACAATTATTATTTACTGTAGCGATGAATTGTCTCGTGTTTCCTGGAATATCTGCTGTGTAAAAAGATAAAATGTTACTGGCACGAGTGTCACTCTTCTGGGATCATCTTGTAGTTATCGAGAAAAAGGGAAAGTAATTAAGGGAAGATTTGGGTACCTACCTATATTTTAAGCTCAATGAAACGTTATGAGCAAAGTCCTGCCCTTTTGAAATCAGAGCGCATTTCGACCAAACCAAATTGAAAGTAAAATATTACATGTGGGGAAAATATCATCGGATTGATTAATTGTTTAGAAGGATTCTTACTTTTGTTTCCTTGAATTAATTTTAATTGCATCATTCTTAACAGATTATGATAACACTTGTCTTTTCGTCTTCTTTGCATTTAGAACGATTTCATCTTTCTACAGAATTTAAACTCGCCCCTAAGAAAATCTTAGGAGAGAAAAAAATTTCCTCGTCTACAAATTCCAGAAAACAACTATATATATCATAGCCGGATTAAGAATTGTTCGCGTAATTAATGGGGAAATTATAAATATGAAGAAATTGTTTTAATTCCATTATTACAGTAACCTTCCACTCCAAAGATCTCATTAGAAATTCTCATTACTCCCTGGGGTGCAATTCTTATGATATAAGTTTGGCGAATTTGGCATTGGATCAACTAATAATCCCATATTTGACAATTTTTTATTCTCAGCACTTGTCTCCTTGATATTGTAAGAGGAAATTTTCTCGGGGTCACTTAAGGGAGTCAAAGGGTCAATGTGAGGAAAGCAGGTAGAAATAAGTTAGTTCTTAAGTGGCAACTGATATGAGTGTCAAGTGATATGAAGCCAATGTGAACTTGACACATTGAAATCTTTAGTGACCTGGAACATTGCTTATGGTTAGTGGGATTCCACATGGCTTTATGAACTATGTGAAGTGTAACAAAGCAATTACCTAATTCCCTGTAGGCGAGGACAGTACAAGCCATCAAAACTACCATCGCCCATCCTTTACAAAGAAAGCTTCTTATCGGCTCCATTGCGTTCTTCAATACAGCCACATCACTTCGATACCTTTGATTTTTTTCTTGTAAATCGCAAAAAACGAAGTTCTTTTTTCGTGTCGAGATTCCAGTTATAACTTGTCACTTCTCTAGAAGTGTTTCCGAGTATTCCATGGCGTCGGGTCGCACATGTAGTAGATGCTTAAATTCTACAGCACACACAACCGTACCATTGATAGGAAACCCATCACTATTCCGAAATTTCACCTTATTTTTGACTGAAGGATATATGTATCATTGTGACACTAAACCATTCATTAAAAGCCGGAGCCAGATGATAATTTGAGAACATAAAGTTTTCGATTAAAATTTCATCCCTGCCAAACCCGAGACGCAACACTTGTGAAATGTTCTTGAAAGGAAAGCCAAATGTCAAGGAGAGTGAAGTCATTGGGTGGTTCAAAAGAGGGGAGTAACCACTCGACAAGTATACGCCTCTCGAACATGTTCCTCTTTTGAAGTTAAGGCCGTGTAAACAGTTCTCCTTTTGGGAACAGTACCAGAAACTAAGGAGATTAAGATAGTAAAAGATGATCATTAGATTCCTATTGAATCAGGAGAAAAAAAAATGTTTCTGTCTGCTATGTGGCCGAGCCTCGAGTTCTCACATTTCTGGTCCTTTGCCCAGTGGAATGATGGCGAAACTACTTTGGGAGTTCTGTCCAGTATTCGCAATAATCTCTTCAAACAAGAGAGTATATCAGAAACAAGTGGCACTTCATGTTCTCCCAGAGATTGAAAGTCTCTCGAGGAAATCCTTTCATGGGAACAGGTACCTTTCTCATCCAGTTCATTTCCGAGATCAGCATGTCCTATGTCTCCGCGCGTCACTCCGTTAAACAACTTTCGGAATGGGCAAAGAAAGTTAAATGGGAAAAATAAGTTCAAACAAGGAGACAAAGGTGTAGTTCGTCGTTTCCGTAACAGATGCAGATTGCTTTTTCTTTTTTTTTTTTTTCACTTCATTGCTTGATTGTTCTTTTCTTTTTCATCATTTCACCATCGTTTCCTAAAAATTCCCAAAAGTTTTTTTGGCCGTTGCGATGGTACTTCGTAAACAAACAAGGAAATTGTCCAAAGGCAACACCATATTTCACTCTTTGTAGCAAAGAGTTTGCCGGCAAGCCTCGATTTCGTATACCAGAACCAGTTTTCCTGGCTCGCTCTCAATCAAATCGAACATGGTTGATTGCTGCGAACGTTATTTGCTAATAAGACTTTATAAAAGGTGAGAATTATGACAGCGTAAAAAGGCTACTCGGTCATGCAACCCAACACCTATCACTTAGTTAGTGACTGGTTTAGCAAAACGGCTATGAACCTTTTCAGGACCTAACCTGTTGGTTATGAATTAATAATGACTGGCATTTACTGAGCTGAAAACAGGGCATTTTCTTTTAAGTGGGGGAAGACATTTTCACTGTTACAAGAAGAAAGATTGACTGGAAACTTCTTGTTATCACTGTTCAACAATGTATTCACTTTATTAGAACGACACTTATTTCTGAAAAAGAGTACATTGCAAAATATGGTAGGTAGATGCGAAAACATTTTTTAAATTTTCGATGCTAACTGACTTTCATCACAGATAAAATGCTTGTCTACTAAATTCTCAGATGACGTGCATCGAGAACATCTCATGACCCCGATTACCTCCGTTTTGCTCTTTTTCACAGGTTTAGGATGTTAATTGGATGCTTCTCTGCTAGACATGGTTTCAAAGATTGTCTCTTCCGCCCTGATTTTCTTTATGATACAATGCGTCACCGCAACAGGTATCTGCGACACTATGGTAGTCACAACAAAAGAATCCCCACCCTGATTAACTTTCTGTTATTCTCTTTGACTTGTACCTCTGTTAGTACTATTTAGCTTTCGTTCACTGCCGGTGCGCAATTGGAAATAGACTAATTTGCCGATCATGAATGGTTAAGGCAAGAGAGCTAAAATTTTCATTCAAGTTACAATCAGCTTCGCCAAGTGTTCATGAACATCTAAGTATAGTTATACCTTTTTTAATCTCTCTCTCTCCTTTTGTTGCCCTTCCATCAGGCTCAGTGATACCAGCATTTTGCGGAGTTAACAAATTAGGGTGGTAAAATAAACGATTATTCCACTCCAAAAAATTCAATCACATTTTATAATCGTGCCAATTTAGCTTTTGCAAACAGTTAGGCAAACGTTTCCGATCTAAGTGAATTTTAGTTGTATGAATGAATCAATTATACCGCGTCAAGACGATTTATTGAGTTTACTTCCATTCCTATTATTTTAGATGATGTACCCTATGGTTCAACTAGAGGTGAGTTTCACTCGAGCAAAGACGTTGCATGTATTTGGAAATCATGTACCTTGTCTTGCATGATCCAAAAAAAAGTTGTGGTACTAATTCGATTCACTATTAGCGGAAATCTCTTCACTTGCATGGCAAATATCGCCATCACCATCTTTGTGATCAAAATCACAGATGGCATCTACAGCCAAGCAACAAACTCTTAAAGATAAAGCGTTTTACGATAACGGTTCCTCAACTGCATCCCTTTTGGTACTTTTTTCAATTGACTAACACGAATGATGTTTCTGTTAGGATGCTAAGCAACACCCCGTTGCACTGCGTCCAAAATACGACTAGCATGTAATTTTCCCTTGTAGTATCCCCTGTGAATCAAACATAGCTGTCATGATTAAAGGAAACAATCGCCATCTTATGAAGCTCTTGATCATTAAAAAAAGACTCTCCTCTTCAGAATTACAGGAGTGTATAAAGAACAGTAGGGAGAATATTTATTCTAATGTTAAGGTGAAAAGGTTAAGACGACTTTCTCTTCTAACGCTTAAGGTTGTAGTTCGGCTTGCCAGAGGGAGTGCATCGAGGTCATCAACAAGTACCGATTGAACCATAATGCCCTGGGAGTAAAGTTCTCCCAGCTTCTTGCTAACAAGGCTCAGAAATGGGCAGACGGTGGGAATTTCGGCTATGACATGAAATCTCGTGGGAAATACGGGCAGTTAATTGAGTGGGACGTCAAAGATGAACTTCAGAATTTTACAAACGTAATCAAACATTGGCACGATAAGGAAAGAGATTTTGACTTTGCTTCTGGTCGATCAAAGACCGGAAAAACCCTTCACGATTTCACGCAAATCGTTTGGAAAAAGGCCAGAAAGGCCGGCTGCGGACAGAGCGAAATATTCGGCTCAAAGTATTATGTGGTGTGGATGGATTCTGATGGTGTTTTGAGTCCGAATATGGAGGCTAATGAAGCAAGTGTTGGATCTCCTCAGCAGGTTTGTAGGGTCCTCTACTGAAACAAATAGATTCCAAGTTGTCCTGCGTCTGTTCAGGAATAGATCACAGATAGAAGTCAAAATAATGTTAATGCTGACGTCATCTATGCGTCTTCCCTCCAATAGTTCACGAGTAAGAACCAATCAGAATGCGTATATCATTCAGCTTGTCATACAAGTCCTCTTTTTGGACTCAAAATTGTCGATTGGTCCGATCACCTCCGTCGTTTTAATGCTATTTGCAAAAGGACGGTCGCAATTTTTACAATCGTCCACAACTCACAAAGAAGAGTATTCCGAAGACTATATTAAAAATAGGTTTAACCTATAGCTTACAAAGTTTAAGTTGAGTTATCTTGTACTGAAACACGTCCAAACTTCTGTCATTGTTGGTCTGTTCTAGAATGATCTTCACTGGTTCGAACGAGGTAAACAGTCGGCTGAAAGGAAACCTACTTATGTTGTCCCATTAAGGCCGCAGGACGCAGACTCCACAACAAGGGGTCTTGTGGAGCCTGAATTACCAATAAACACGGCGAGGGGTGGTGGTGAGCAAGGCAAACCGCGTGCTGGTCACCCTGATTTGAATGAAGTACGAGAAGAACACAAGGTGTTGAATAACAATGCTCTGTTGAAACAATATTTATTTAATGACACCCTCAACAACGTGGTATTGAACGAAAATAAGGAAACTGCTAGTTACCACGTAGTTTCTGGAGCAGAAGACAGTGCCAACTGGCAAAAAGGAGCAGAAAGCCTAATACAACTTGGTAATGACAGGGTAAAGACAAACCAGACCTCACCCAATCATGGTTTGACGTCACCAGACAGGGGTATGACGTCATCCACTAATAGTATGATGTCTCCAGTTGGAGATGGAGAAGAAGACGACAGTAAACAGGCGGCTAGGTTCCAGTCGCTGGTAATCCAGGACGATGATATGCTGACAAAGGACGAAGGAGATGCCAATGGAACAGTCTCCACGGAAGCCAGCGATAGCGACGATATCGCAGAAGGGGATGATTATCAGCAGGCAGCCATTCAGTCTATGATGAAGCAAGAAGACGACATGATACAGAATGAAGAGCCTGCAGACGACGACGAACTGTCAGGGGGGAGTCCTCCACCCAGTAAGGCAACATCTGAAGCCTCAAACAATGCAGCACCGGGCAATAGCAACCACAAAAGTTCTTCAAAACCCATTGCAAAATCAAACGAAGCTTTCGTAATTAATATAACCGAGGTTCATCGAGGAGAAGAGGGGAAATCATTCTATACATCAGGTGTGGCCCTTAATAATAATCCCAACGAAACGAACTCATCTACTGCATCAAATGACATACCTGTTTTTGAATTATCTGAGGGTAAAGCTAATTCATCTCTTCACGATGCAGAAATAAACAACCAATCAACGACAAGCATTCAGCCAGGAACTACTCCTGATTCGCTTTCAAAAGAAAGCCATGGTACTGAGGAGAATGAAGATCGAACAAAAGGTGGAATGCAAATATCCGAAGATTCCTTGTTGAAGAATGACAAAGCAATGAACAAAATGGTGGCAAATACTCCACAGTCTGCCATATTATGTTCTGACAGCCTGTCAAATCAAGAGAAAATAACACAACAACCTAAATCAAAAGAGAGTGCTCCGACAGACTTAGTAACATCAAGCTCTAATTCAAGCAATGATATGGAGCAAGTTGCTAGTGTGGCTCCCAGTCCAAAGGTATCAAGCTCTCAAGGGAAAATTGTACCTGGTGAGATTCAAAGTGAGAAAATACCCTTTTCGTCAAAAATGCAGCCGCAACTAACTTTAACAGAAATGATTACACCTGGGGCAAAAATGAATCCCAACAGGAATTCCCCATCTATCTCTCAAGTACAAAATACACCCGGACCTTTACAACAAACAGGTACAGCATTAGGCAGCCATCATCCGACATCTTCTGCCTTAGGAAGCCAGAAAACTGAGCAATCCGTGCTTATATCGGGCATCGAACCACACAATGGTCAATCAACTGAGTCAAATGCTGTGATCCAATTACCTATTGCCAACGGCCTTGATGCCAGCTCACATGACTCTGATCTTCATCTCGTAACCTCTCCAGCTCTGATCACTTTGCCGAATTCCAGTAGCCGGCCTATAAAGCTCGTTTTCCATTTTCCAGATATGAAGTCAAAAGGGGAGTCGTCAAACACTCCGCTTAGTGGGTCCCAAGGTGGCGATGACAACCAGTCAACATCTATGCTGAATGCTGCCGCAGATATGATGAAAAATGATGGTAAGTAAGTTTTTTAAGTATGTGTCACAAAACGAAGGTGGAGCTAAGGAGTGATTCTAAGCAGTGCGATCTTGTCTTCTGAAGGAAATGTGATGATTTTCAGTGATGAAATAACCTGGCATCCGACCGAATGCTATATGATCCCTCAATATAGAACCCACCCTCCCCCGACTGGAAATATCTCCCACGATCTCTGCGACAGACAATGGCGAGGCAAGAGCCCAACTCTGTTTATACGAAAAAAAAAAGAAGCAAGATCTTTACAAAAGAAGTACAGTTTTATAGCAAATATTTCTTATCTAACAAATCCTTGGTTTGCACACGAAGTTATTGGCGTTCAAAACTGGCGCATATTGATATCAATAGCTGTTGACAGTTACATCCTAGCACACAGAAAGAACTTAATGACTAGTTTCACTAACCAGCGATTTATCTCTTCATCATACGTTTAGAATGTCACGACGACACCTTACAATGTCAACTTTGGGCTCACCATGGACACTGCAGAGGAACTGCCTACGCAGAATTTATGAGAAGACATTGCAAAGCTACCTGTGGATATTGTGGTAATTCTCCGCTCAAAGCATGGGTTAAAAACTCTTTCGGAATCCTGATTTGTTGCCTGGTCTTTGCCTGGCTGTTATAAAAAATAATGCAAGAGATAAAGAAAATCACGGGACACTTTTCATGACAAGGCTTTTATGAATACGTCTTCCATTTTTGGTTCTAGGTCTTCCATCGGTTATCAAGGAAAGTGAAAATCACAAAAAAGCGCAAAGTGTGGCCCAAGATGGTAAGTGTTCGTTGATTTATAATGAAGCGTGCATGCAAAGGGTAACAGTGCTTGATATCACTCATTCATCAGTCCACTGAGCAAGAGGTTTATCTGCGTGCAAGTTCGCGACCTGCAACTATAACTATTGTACCACGTCAACCAATTTTGCCAAAGGATGGAGGTCACCGCACTTTATAAGGGTAACCGCAGTGGCGGATCCAGGGGGAGGGTCCGGGGGGTTCGGACCCCCACTAACAGACCTGACGATTACAACTTTGAAATTGAAATTCTTACATCGTAAGGATCGTATATCACTTTTTAACTAGCTGATCTTTTTAATGAATCCAAGTAAACGGTAAGCGACCAAGGAATTATAACGTGCAACCGCGACTGATGGGAGGGGGGTGTGGGGGGTGTGGGGGAGAAGTAATTTGCCTCAAAAGAGTCCAACAGTCCTTTCTGAACCAAAGTTTGGACCCACCAATCAAAATTATCGTATCCGCCCCTGTAACCCTAAATGTTGCCAAAATAACATATGATGAACTTGTCTCGGATTCATGTTCAACTTTAAGAGATACCACTTTCCTGAACAACAAGTAATACCTCTTTCACCTTTGAAGTGTAGGATTATGAATAAACACTTCAGTAGTTACAAGCACTCTTAATGGTACATCACCGATTATTCTTGCTATAGGAGATCTCGCCCTTCGGAAGTTTAGTTCTACTCATGTTAGTTACCTTTACTCTATTTACCACATTTGTTTTTATCACTTTCTGATAGAACCCTGCCAAGATATGCCTAAATATCAATTTAGCTGTCCCAGATGGCAAGCTCGAGGCTATTGTGAAAAGAAAGAAAATGAAATGAAAACAGTTTGTAGAAGGACTTGTGGTTTCTGTGGTAAGTAATTGTTCGTCAAAAGCGAGACCCTCGCCATAGAGAATGGGAAAGTAGGTTACTCTTGAAAATTTAGATTGCACGGTACTCATGCATCAAATGAAACACTCGGCCATAGTATGCAGTCAAACCGCCTCCCGGTTAGCTCAATGGATAGAGCGCTGCGCTGTTGTGCGGGAGGTCGAGGGTTCGAGCCCCGGCCGTACCAACACTCAGGGTCTTAAAATAATTGAGAAGAGTTTGCTACCTTTCTATAACATCAAGAAATGGTTAGATATTCTAGTCTTCTCGGATAGGGATGAATAAATGGAGGTCCCGTCTCCTGCAGGGTTGGGGTAGGAGACGATAATTTCCCACACACGAGATTACTGTGTGATGGATGTCCTCCCCTGGGGTGGGATGGGTGGGATATCGGGCGCACTTAATTTGGAGCCTCGCTCTGTTGTGCGACCCTCACCACACTCTGGTGAAAGTGATTAAATAAATAAATAAAATAAAAATAAACACTTTTCCTTGACATGTATTCCTTGGTAGTGCAGATGAAAGAGATATTAAAATTTTTTTCTTCGCCATTTTTAATAATCCAAAAACAAACAAGATGACTTGCCAAGGATAAAACATACTAGTGAAACAACATAAAAAGGACACTTACCTGTAAAACCTCTGAAACAAATAACACTCCGGCCAAGTTTTGACAACATGCGTCGTTTACAGGTCTCTCTACTATTGTACACAATAATAATGATGATGATGATGACGATATTAGCACTAAAAATATTTACCTGAAGAGAAACAAAATTAGCAATAATCTCGTGGTTGTACCATTTGGATAAATCCTTTAATCATGCAAATACTTCAATTTTAAACCTTGAGTCAATGATCTTAAATATTTTTTTTTTATTGCTTTGTTTACAGTCGCAGATCCAGTAAAGGCAAGACATCAATCTATGGCATTTCAGCATTCTCCTCTAAAGACTAACACGGGTATCACTAACACGGGTAATGTTAAAGCCCCAAAACTGTCAAAGCCGCCGGCATCAATACCTACAGAAAAGACCAATGAAAATAACATATTTAATGATCAACCTCATTTGAAACCACAATTTGATGATCAAACTATAAACATAACACCCCTGAAAGCAAAGGTGTCACTGACATCATTACCAGAAAAGACCGATGACAGCAACATTTTAAATGATCAACCTCATTTACCACCACAATTCGATGCTCAAACTATAAACATAACACCCCTAAAAGCAAAGGTGTCGCTGGCATCATTATCAGAAAAGACCAATGGAAATAACGTATTAAATGATCGACCTCATTTAACACCACATTTTGATATGCAAACAATAAACATAACACCCATGAAAGCAAGGATCTCATTGACATCATTACCAGCTAAGTTTGATAAAAATAACAAATTAAATGATCAACCTAAATTAAAACAACAGTTTGACATGCAAAACGTGGAAGTTACACCCTTAAGACCGAAGATTTCACTGATTAAAGTCTTCGAGCCTTTCGTAGGAGTACTAACTAAGTCAAACACTACGAATACCACAGAGACTCCAAAGACATCATCTCATTCTCCCCAAGACAAGCATCTTTCTAAAGAAACAGAAAGCTTACCCTTCAAGAACCAGGATGACCAAATTTCATCAGTTGGCTCAAACAATACCCAGAATTCTACCCTAAAATTGGTTGGTCAGCCTCTTATCCAAAGAAATAGAACTTCACTTTTGGATCAGAGTGGTCTTAAAATAACAAGTTCTCTGCCTCGTGGGCAGGGTGTGCCCTCCAACCTCAACAAGTTTATAAAAAGACCCATTAAGATTGGTTTGTCTTATTTGAACGGAACAGAGATTCAATCAAGTCTATATCCCGCTGGAGGCAGAGTTATCAGCCAAAACTATCGATCAAAGGGAGAGGACAACTTGATAATGGAAGGTATTCAGGCATTACAACACAAGCTGCAAGCTCCGGTGCAGATTAGTGCTGTAGCAAAGAGTAACTCAGCGTGCGGGCAGAGACTCTGCAAGGAAAAAGTAAAAACCCAACAAGCAAAAACTAGAGAGACCATTGGAGATCAAGGTGAAAAATGATATTTAATTGTTGACTGGGTAGGTAGGTGGCAAGGCGCGAAAATATTGGCTCGAAGTCGTAACGTACAGACCGAGCGCAGAGATCTCCTTGAGAGCTAAAAATTTACCCGTCCAGCCCGACCAAACTCAATTAATAAGCATTTCATCATATGACCTTCCCCTTTCTCTTTTTCCTCCTTTCCTCTTTTAGCTTTAAAACTTTTCTTATAGTCAGTGTAGTCGGTAAACAGTTACGGATAGTTTTAGAAAAATCCTCATTAGGTTAAATGTGAAAAGTCGTCAAAAAAAGTAATTATTCAGGGCCAAGTGGCTCGTCTTTTAGTTGTTTTTTTTTCCAAGAATCAAGCAAGTTTCTTTCACCTGAGGCAAACGTCTATTTGTGAGACAACATTTCAACCATCAATAAAATTTATGATTTGTTTGTTCCAAACGGTGGCAGATATATTTATCAACGTACTGATTAAGGCTCTTCCTTGTACTATTTAGCACTGGCTGACGTTACAACTGCGCACAAGACTGAAGAGAACCCCGTCTCAACAACTGGTAATGGTTGATTTAAAAGGATTTTTTGTTGTTGTTTTTTTTCTTGGAAAATCCAATCAAAAATGTGATTATTTTGAAAAGTCCTTTTTACAGTTGTGGGCTTGGTTCGTTATTAAGCCTTTGAACAGGAAAGAGGCTAAGGGTGACCGTGTTCTGATACAAACGTTGCTTCTTTTCAAATGTAAATGACTTTGTTATCATGCCAACTAGACTATTACTGGTCTCCATCAGAACAAGTCACTTTGCGCCTCACTCCAGATCGAAGGCTTGGCAACCAGGTTCACGAATGTAAAATGGCCCATTATTGTATATCAACAGTGGTTACATTGTATCATTTTGCAAAGTTCTTGCTAGGTGTTATAAGGATTACTTAACTCATACAGAGCATACTATAAGTTTTGGAGACCCTTCTAAATAGTAATTCTTACCCTTTATGAAGTAATTCTTCAAACCATCTCTGAATATGTCAATGATGAATTTGCAAGATGATTTCGAATAGCCAAAATGCAATATAAATATTTTTGTTTCTCATAATTATAACTGTATCCGTAAAAAGGTTAGTTTGCATAGTCAAAAGGCGAGAGAACCGCAAAATCGCCCGAATGGTTTGGTTTCGAATCCTCATTTAAAAATTGAGTCGCGAGTATCCTGGGTAAATTTAGAATGCCTCGGTCTATGCCAGGATAAAAGTTGAAAGTTGCAACTTCAGTCATTGTTTATTGAAGGTTGTAACAGCTCATGTCAGCAAGAATGTCTGGCGGCTCACAACAGATATCGATTAAACCATGGCGCATCGCCCCTAATACTGGACCAAACATTAGCCAATCAGGCTCAACAGTGGGCTGATAAAAAAGTGTTTAAACATTCCCCCTGGGCAGGGGGGCAGGGTGGTGAGACAATTGCGCTCGGTAGCCTTTACCCATCGTTCACTGCCGCAGTTAAAGCTTGGCATGACGAAGAGAAGGATTATGATTGGTCGACTGGAAAAGCCATCGGAGATATGAAAGTAAATCACTTTACTCAGGTGTGGATGTGAATTTTTTTCTATTTCTACAATCTTTAAGCTTAAGATACTGTTTTTCAAAGAGAGTATTTGTAGCTATCATCATTGACTGGTGTGGAGACCCCATTTTTATCTCAGACTTCGAGTTTCAAAATGATGTCCCAAAAGGTAAAGCTCAACAATAACTTAACTGCACGATTTTATTTCAGAGATCGATGATACCATCAGTAATTGCATGATTGATAGTATCATCATGATTGCATGATTGGATTTCAAATCCGGATAATACAACATGAAGGCTTCCTAAATGAGGGAAACTAGGTGTTAATGTTTCGATTGATTTCATGGGTTTAAAGTTCGGAAATTTTTTAATTTCTAGGTGGTTTGGAAGGGAGCACATTTACTCGGATGTGGCAAAACTATTGTCAATGGGGAGCCATATTATATTGCACAAATGGATATCCCAGGAGTCATAGCAGGCGTACCGGGTTATGACAAGTCCAACGTAGGTGAACCAAAGGAGGTGAGCAGGGAATCATATAAGAGGGAAAAGGAGTAAGCCTTGCATAAACCTGAAATAAGAAGATTCTGTAGGTGCGACACACACGCGAGTTACCCTTATCACCAAAAATACAAAAGGGCACGAAAGATTAAGCAAAATTGCTAGTACTTATGCATCTCAAATCTCCTTTGTATAGGCTAGTTGTTATCATTATGGTAATCGTGATTGTCACCGTTACTTTTTATCGTCCTTGGTGACGTTATCGTTGTAGTTTTCGTCTTTTGGCGAGAGTTGTCGTCGTCGTCGTAATAGGGACCTTAAGCAACCACGACGGCGACGGCAACGAGGACGTGGAAAAACAAGAGATCTAATTGGCAGAACAATAGCTCAGCACGTGCGTTTTGAAACTTTGTACATTTCTTAGAAACTTTGTACATTTCTTTGAAACTTTGTACATTTCCTATGTAAAACAACAACGTGAAATCGCCAAAATTTTTGCGTCGTCTGCGAACCAAAACCGCGACGGCAAATTATTTTAATTTTCATTTGGAACTCAACGCTACTTTTATACGTCATGCTGAAGTTGAGCTGTGGCGCCATATGAGACAGTAAGCTCCTGCAGCCATGTTTGAAATTCTAACTAATAGTAGAAATTAATTTTTTAATCGGAGTCTTCCTTGGCGTTGCCGTCCTGACTGCTTAAGGTCCCTAATCAGCGTTCTCATCTTCGTCAGAGTTATCGTTACTCTGATTATAGCTATCTTAATCGCTGTCGTTATCGTCAACTTCCTAAGTAACAACGACGTCTTTGTAGTTATAACTGTAACAGCAGCAAATGATATCTTTGTAACTATGTTTAAGAGGTCGTTAACTATAGCGACTTCGTTAGCTATGAAGTTGCTATTGTCATATCACTATCGTTATGGCTATTATGATGATATTAACTTTGACTACGTTGCTGTAGTTGTAAGGTCTTTGTTATAGATAGCGAAGTCGTTTACGACAAGGTCTTTGTCGTAAACGACTTCGCTATCTATAACATATAGATATACAGTTACGGTACATTGTACTTATATACAACTACGTGGAATTCTAAGTCTCTTCGATAACGGAGTTGTTGTTAATAATATCAATGTACTTAAAGTGATCGTCATTGTCTGCGTGCTTGCCATTGGCGTCAGGTTCTTGTTGAAATCATTGGACTAACTTGGGCAATTATTCCTTCTTCGTCAACTAGCCTGATCTAAAGTGGTTCATGGACAGTTCGCCCTACTGGAAAGAAATGCAAACTAAGGATGCCATCCCCAAGAACATCGAGCATCGAATTTTGTGACGGCATTTACTTGTACCAGGCGAATCATTCCAAACTTGTTCGTCGTCCCAATCCTCGTTTGGATTATGGAATGCAAGTAACTTCTCACCAACACATACTTTAAGCTTCTCTTCAAACCTCTTTTTATCATCGGGTGATAAACAGGCTAAATAATCGCTAGATTTTCTGGAATAGAAGGTGCTTTTGATTGAACGTCCGAGGCATCCGCCATTTTGTTTTTCTTTCTGCCCCAGAAAACTCGCGCATGTCCAGTAGCATGGAAACAAGGATCGGCCTATATATGCAAGGTGTAGGAAAGAACTTGTGTTTATAAACAGCTGAGAAGCGGCGTACGCCTCCTTAAGGTTATGATATAAAACGTATCTAAGTAAACACTGATAAGACAACGGCGAGGAAAACATTGATTTGAAAATGAACTTGCGGTTGTCTTAAGAAATTTCCAAGAGAAGCTCAATGTTTTATGTTCTTCAGTGACACCACATCTCTTCGGCGTGACACGTTAAGACATTGTCCAGTTCCAAGTAGAAAAGTATACATTTGCTTTGAGGTTCCTGTTCTCAGACTGTACAGAAAATAATAATTCCACGTTGCTTTGAAGATGACAGGACGTGAGGTCCCTATTGCCCTGGGATGACGTATCATGGTCATCAAAAAACAAATATCACCACGGACATAATAAACTAAGATACAAAACATATATGATGATTTCCAGAAATCATTCAACTGTTATTGGTGTAAGCTGGGGGGTAACATTTGATCGCGTGGCTTTGTCGTTAGGGTGGGGGTAGTCCTGAAAAGGACTGTTGCCGGTTGTAGTTAATGACGTTTTGACAGCCTTAGAGTTGGAGTTGAATCAAACTCTACTACTCCGTGAAGACATCCGCTGAAGTTTGCCAAACTGCTATCGACAACAGTTCGTCCCAGGACTACTCTTACCTAGACGATCAGACCACACGATAAGAATTTATGCTCTCGCAGAAATTTTATGATGAGGAAATATCTTTATTTTGACGGGGATATGATTATCATATATACATTTCAGTTATGGAATGTGTTAGTTTTAACAGTTACTTTCTTTTAGGAAGTAATGGTCTTCTGATAACCACAAAAAACTGATTTGTTTTGACTGAGATGTGATTCCCATGTATCCACGAAAAGAGAACTTTATTGCATTTGTGTGACATATCCTGATAATTACAACAGATAAGGTGTAAGGTAATGTTGGACGATTTTCCCGAGTCAAGAGGACATGATACTTTCCGCCATAAATCTTATGGTTAGGAAAAAAAAAACCATTTAGATCGACATATAGTTTCTTGTTTCCGGTTTCGAAGTTCAAAAGGTGCATCGTTCGTAGTGATCAGTCCAGCGAGGCGAATTCCTGTTTTAAACATGTTGCATGTTGGCCAGCTCCTCAGAGAATGGCGAGTCATCTTTGAACCACTCACTGTCATCCTGTTGAATAGATAAATACTAGCTTTATTACCAAAAGTCGCTGATAACTGTGTCTCTTTCCCTCGGGTTGCAGGATAGCGCAATACGCGGGGTTTGTTACTGTTCGACGCGTAAGAAGTGCTGCATACTTTATTGATTCCACTTTCACTGACCGTTACTGACACCACAATAACGTCAATAGTGGATAGTAAACTTTATGCATTGGGATATCGATCAAGAATAATTTTTCATACCTGTTTTGGTCTTTTAATGTTCTCTACAGTGTTTTGCTTTTCAGTGATTGGGGCCTGATCATAATGAGCCACATACCAAGGTTCACCATACAAACCGCCTCGCGCACAACCGATTTTACGAGCCTTCTTCCACATCATCTGCATAAAGTGATCCACCACCTATATTGAGAAAGAAAGCGAATGTCAAGCAAACATCGAAGCCTTTGTGTCAATCCGAGGTCAAAGCTGGATGAACTTGAAATGCTAAATGAAAGAAAGATGAGTACAGTGACAAAAGACGAACGTTAACGCAAACGCAAACGCATACACGCATACCCATACACATACTTGCAAATACAAACGCATACGCATACACGCAAACGCATATACGCATACGTGGGAGGGCCGGACGGGAGAACACTCCTTGGTTCGAGGTGAGAGGTCTGTGCCTTATGACCGAGAGCGAAATATTTTCTACTCCGGCTCAACCATACTCAGTCAATAAGCACTAAGGGATGAAAATTTCAGCCTAAATAGGACGCGATACGGGCACGTCCACATACGGGCACATCCACATACGGGCATATCTACATACGGGCACATCCACATACGGGCACATCCAAATACGGGCACATCCAAATACGGGCACGTCCACATACGGGCACATCCACATACAGGGCATATACGAGCACATGCAGCCATACGAGCACAAAATAAAATTCTGCAAGTAAAACCTTTTCATACATTTTTTCAAGGCAGAACAAGAAACTCCCAATATCTTGAAAATCGTGACTTTTTTTTATTTCTCGTTTTACTGTACTAAATTTGTTTTTAAAAAGATTGAGACGCAGCCTGAAAACCATTTGTATTTTAATAATCCTTCACAAAAAGTAACTCAGAAAGTTAAAACGAGAGGTAAATCTTCGAAGAATAATAGTGGCTGGAAATGAGCAATACTTTCCGAAAGATCTCTGAGTGTTATGTTTGCGATACAAGTAGTGTTATTCATTCAAACATGTACATTCCTTTTTTTTACATTTCAGTTGACATGTGTCAGATCGCGACAGATACTCGTTTTAGAATGTTTCAAAGTTAAGTTGGAAGCCTTTTAATCTGCCTTCAACATTACATAAATAGAAATGTTTCGGTGAAGCCTCGCTCTTTAATTTGAATGACCTCTGTTTTCCTTATCATGTACTCGCTGGAAGTTCAGTTTATGGAGGATTTTCCCGTAATTAAACTCGTTATTGTAGCTATAAATCATTCGGGTATCCCGTATTATGTCGTAGCGACACAGCTTAATCTTTTTGTACAAGTAATGTTTAAGTTTTACTTCACCTGTGAATTTTTCTTTGGTGCTCCAGTTTGATAATCATAATACGCTCCTTCGTCGTGCCAGTTCTTGATAACAGCGGTGAATGACGGGAAAAGAGAACCCCAGGCGAACGCAGCGCCTTTATTTTTTAACTCCACCCACTCAGAATGTTTAAAAACTCCCTTGTCAATCAAAGCTTGTGCTTCATCCGCCAGCTTCTGGTCAAAAACTAGCGGCGGTGCATCATGATTAGCTCTGTATTTGTTATGCACTTGAATGCATTCCTTTTGGCAATCCTGATCGCAACCTATGAAATAAGTGCATCGAGTGTGAAAAGACTGCACCCATGAGGGGTTCAGTCTCTAATCCTTGGTGTTTCGGTGACCCTGCGATCCTTCCCGTACAGAAGTTCGCAGGCACACTGAAATTCCTTCTGAGAGAGACTGAGGTTAAAGCGTGTGATAAAAATCTGATTTACCGATCTGAAACGAGATAATTTGTTTTAGTATGAAGTTATATAGGAAGACATTTGAATAGTTCTAACTTCTAATGAGAAGCTGGAGTCTCTCTCCTCATTGAAAAATTAGGCATGGTCACCTAGTGTCCCTATAGCACGCGATAGAGATTAGCGCAATCGGCCGACTTTGATGAGATGAACATTATGATGCTGGTGAAGACTAATTTCTAGACTTTATTACCTTTGGTTTCCCCAATGTATGATCGGCGGAAGAGCTCGCTTTGTGTCTGAGATATCTTGCTGTCTGTAAGCCAAATACACGCAAGAACAAAATAGCTTTTGTGGTGTAACTCCATGTATTGAGAAAGATGCAAAACAGACAAACAAACAATGAAAACATTACAATTGCGCTCACTCATCGTCACCTCTATAATTCACCTGTTCGTGATAGAAAGGCGCAGAACGTGAATAACAAGGTAGTTATTATCATCCTGGAAACATAGATGTCGGCGACCTCCTAAGGAAAATCATTGTTATAGAATTAGCTTAAATGGTTTTTGGTTTTTCATTCAGTGACAATCAACAAGCCAAACGTGATGAAGTTTCTATCTTTCTTTTTTTTTACGTAAAGTGATAATAAAGTACGACGGCACGGGGTTAATAAGTGTTACTAAAAACCAAACAGCAGTTATATGGTTAGATTTAGCCAAACGGTCATTTCTGTAGAAGGAAAGTTTGATATGTGGCTTATTGATGTCCGAGTGGACGACACAGGGAAGAAATAGGTCATTGTTCTACGGCCTGTTGATCCCCTTTTATTTCCGACAAGTTTCCGCAGGATTCTTTACTCTCTATTATTGCTAAGTTTCTTTCCTTCACGCTCATGCACTGCTTCACAGCCGGTAAAGCTAACCAAAACTAAGCTATCCCAGATATTTTAAATACACGTTCAAGTTATTAAATTGAAGTTTTTCCAGTAATCACCAAAAGTGTTGTCGTTATGTAACAAAATTCGGTCAGTCGCAACGAACAGACTACTAACTGCAGTCTGTCAAGTTCATCAATTTTGAATCCCGATAAAAAACCGTCGAGTGATCAGTGGGCAGATACTTTAAAGCTGTCCATCCATCAGTATAGTAGACAACTCTATAGCTGAGTGCCGGATCATCATTCTCCTCCCCCAAGCTCGAAAATCAAACTTTTAGAGCCCAACTTCTACTGCGAAAACTGACAAGATTTCCCAGCCAGATAATAGCCGTTTGATATTTATTCTCTACCGCTTGAGTACCTGTTGTTAATCTTCCAACCTGGTTGAACACTTCTTGCCCCTGTTATGATAATGAAAAGGACCACTTACCCTCTTGAGCTTTCAAAAGGCGCTTTTGAGTGTAGTTACGTTTTGTATCGTGAGCCTGTGAGATATCTTTGATAAAACAAATAAATACAAATCACACAAACATGTCTTTACCTGCACTGGTCAAATAAACAAATTGATTCCTTCCAATTTAATGTAAGGTCTCTATGAGGAAGTAAAGTGGTTAATTTTTCATGGGATTTATCTATATCAACCGTTTCACTTAGAGCAAAGCTCTGTATCTCAGTTTTTAGCAAACTTAGCGGCCACCAGTAAAAAAACGATCAGAATTCGCAGAATGATTACAGGCATAGGAATGACATTCACACAAATGTCAAGTTCCATCTCCTTTCCTTAATCGATCATTTGTAAGTTACAGATCAGATTGTGTTATGTCAACGAAACGCACCTCAGTGCATTTTAACCTTAAAAAAAAAATTAAACACTTTATTCTTTCCTTTCAATTTTTTAATCAAAATTAGCGCGCGTTTCTTTGTTTAAGGTTGAAATTTGTTTTGAGTTTTAGACGTGATCGTGGAAGAGAACATTGCTGTAAAATTACAATTACAAAACAACTGTTGCAACTTTGGAGAAAGGCCCAACGCGATTTATAAAGTTCACAAACAATCTCAAAGAGATTTTCAAGTATACTGTAAAACAGTTTTGCTTTCAGGTAAAACGCAACATTTTCTCAATAGCTTTGTCAAGTTCCTCTTTTAATAAAAATCCTCACAAGGAGACTAGAATAATAGTCACTGGTTGTTTTACAGGTAGCACATTCAGCTTAAAGACGCAAGTTTTTTTTCCACCAGTAACTGCAGTCCAATCCGATCGAGTCTGAAAAATAAGTCGAACAAACGGTACAAAATCAAAGATGACCAAAGATACCCGGTTTACACCACGCATGTCCCATTTCAGTTTGGCTAACCGCTGACCAAGGAAGAACGAGTATGTTGGGGAGAAGTAAAACTTGACTGTACAAAAGTAAGCATTAAACGTTTTTTTTTAGTTTAATTTTTTATTCTTTGTAATTTTTGATGAGATGACAATGTTCGAACTTTAACATGAATATAAATAACATAGATAAGTCTATCTTCATAAGAAATAAGTCACAGTAGTAGGCCAACGGTCTCATACTTTTTGGAAGGTGGTTATAGACCACTTTCATAAATGGCTGCCAGATGATATTCTTTTGTTTAAATTTAAATTAGCCTTTCTGGCCTCGTTGTCCAGGTCAAAATTCAAAAGCAAGGCCAGAAAGGCCAGAAAGCGAGGCCAGAAAGGCTTATTTAAATTTAAACAAAAAAATATTAATCCGGCAGCCATTTATGAAAGTGGTCAATTAATCGCAAGGTTTTCAGCTTCTAAACAAGAATTTGAATCAACGCATCTTTCACCCAATCAACAGATTACATCATGTTTGATCGATGGGAGAAGCTTGCACAGCAGCCAGACAGTTGATCAGTAACTGCCACGTGTAGGCAGAAATCAAGTATCTTCAAAGAAAGAGCTATATTTCCTCTACAAGAGCTTATTATCGTTTATTATTTCACTAACAATTCATCCCAGCGCTAAAAACCCAGTTCTAGAGATTTTACAGAGTCAGCGAATCAAAAGGAACGTAGTATCCATCAATGTTTCAGGTTCTTAGGTGTCAGACGCTTCCTATCCTTTATATTAGATTTCTTGAGAACTTTAATGACTTCCTTTTCCCCTTTTACTTCGGGTTTCTTTGATTTCCGGCTAAGAGATGGTTTTGGGGAAACACCGTTGGAGCCCATCCATTCCTCTCTCTGCGCGGCCGCCACATAGGGGTCTGGGGAATAGTGCTCGGTGTAGTATTCAAACTTGTCACTGGTCTTAGCTGGAGTGAAGTACGTACCGTCCTCAAGAGGACGCTTTACAGCACCTTACATGAGAAGATCTTATTCAGTATTTGTTTATACTACGTACTGCTGTTAACTTGTTAATACTACGTACTGCAGTATTTGTTAATACTACGTACAGATGTAATCTCCCGTGATTTTGTTCCATCTGATCGTCAGGCGATCTTCGTTGATTAAACAGCAAGAGGACAGCTAAATTTGGTCGTAATTTCAAACTATAGATTGACCTAAGGTCCAGAAGCAGGTACCCACCCGATGTTTGCGTGATATTTTTTTCCTCTAGGTTATTAATAGCTTTTAAATGTTTTTATCATGATCAACATATATTATTTGGATCTGTGGCTCCATTGTGACTCGTGTTATCTTCCTTACATTCCTAGGTCAATTACGTTTTGTTCTAAGACAAAAAGCTTTAACACCGTAACCAAGAGTAAGCTTAAAGACAACCTATCAGAAACGCTAATTCATAAGCAAATGGCTCTTTAATAATCCCTTACTTTACAAACAACATGACATCATTATGACAATACTCATGTCATTGATACTTGTGTCACGTGGTGAATTTATTATACTTGAGGTATACATCTCAGACCTTTTTCAAACGCTGTATATGAGGGGGTGGGGTGGTATTTTGGAGATCTTGGTTGTGTCACAATAATTTTTTTACCTGACCCCTCCATAAGGTTCATTAATAATTTTCTGATCCCCTCTGATTTGAGGTTAATTGGCTGTTCATTTTCTATGGTCTCCCCTTTCTACTCTGTTGGCAGCGACTGATCCCCCTCCCTTCCCCCTGAAAACCACGTGATCCTCCCAAAATCCTCCTTCCCCTGGGCGATAAATAATGACTTGGCTCTTAAGGCATCGTGAGAACTTTCTTAAACTGGAGTTTTTGTTTTAAAGGAACAGTAAGAGAGGCAAGGTCACATTCTACCCAATTCTAGTCATAATAACGTGGTTTAGGTATTTGAGGATTGCTATTCGTTGATGCACTTACCACCTCCCATGTCGTCATACTGCTGAGGTAGCGGTAAGTTGATCCGTGTATCTGCGTTAACTGACCACACTGGCGAGTTCCTCTCCGGGTCAATAGGCAAACCTCTCTTGGAATTTGTATTTCCTGTCTCGGCAAATTGAGTTGGCCGAGTTTCGAAGAATTTTCCTGTCGGCTTTTCTGCATCACTAGCTTGACTGGCTGCTGTATTGTTTGGATTAGTTGTGGAATTTTGGGAAGGTGTGGTTGCATTCTGAGAAGGCGTGGTTGTATTTTGGGAGGGCGTTGGAGTCTCTACGTATTCTGCGTCTTGATTTGGAATGAAACAGTTTGTTGTCTAACATGATAAATCTTTAAAGAATCTATCTGCGAAAGCTATTGCTTATTTCACATAGTCGACAAGTTGAATAAAAAACAATGGTCTTTACCTCTTCAAACTAACAAATCAGTGACCAGACAGCACGGGAGACTGGAAACTATTTACCAAAGTTTTTCTTGTCTCTGTGTATTTTGACTGATTTTTCCAATGCATTCCTCCGGTCGTTTTATCATTACTAAAAAGTGAGAAATTTCTCACATTTCTTGCATTCAAACTGTTGTGAATTTTTACTTACTGATGCAAAAGCCACATGTCTTTGGGCAATAGCTTTCGAGCTGCTCTTTGTAAGTTTCGCAAAATCCTCTAGTTTTCCATTCGTCGCAGTAAGGGTTTTCCCTGTAAGTATCACGGCAATCTGGAAGAACAGTTATAGCATGTCTCAGTATTGAATACTGTGGCTAAATAAAACAATAGATTTGCTGGTGATATAGCGATCAGCTACTTGAACAGATAGGAGGTCGCAAAATCTGAAATTTTTTTAATATCTCTAGGGGGAGTTGATTATGCGCACCAGATTTCTATGACGTGATCTGCCGGTCTCCAGATTGGGGTCTGAAATCTCCCGGATAATCGCCTAAGTTTGCCATTCTTCTGAGACACAACTTTCCCATCAATACAATTTCAAATATTTTCCGTTGTATCAAGACAAGGGCTCTACTTACTGCAGAAGCGACATGTCATAGAACAGCCATAAGTCAAGTATTGCCTGTATCGGTCGTCCATGCAAATATCAGCGTCCTTCCATTTCTGACATGTCTGGGTCACAAATTTGTCCTTGCATTCTTTGGCGTGCAGGCAGGAAAAAAACAACGACTAATGAATCAGCGCTGTCAAGTAGTTTTCTTCCTAACGTTTCCTCATTGATCCAGCGGGGGATCTAGAGGGGGATTCATGGGGAGAGTGCAGGGGTTCGGACAAGCATTCCCCTCCCCCCTTCGCCCCAAAACACAAAACTTAATTTGTGTGCTTACTACATTGGAAGTAAAATTGAAACCCATTTTACATACAAGTTAGTTGACAATTCAAATAATCAAACCAGAAAGACTTACAATAGGCTTTGAAGGTTTAGTAACTTATTTTGCAACTCCGACAAAGGAGCATCACCTTATTCCAAACAACCAAAAAGATTCCGTTCAAGTCAGTCTTCGCCCTTACCGGGTTTTTTTTCTTGTGGCTCATCTAGAGTGTTGTGATATTGGGGATGCTGTGGTGCGGTATGAAGTTTATGAGAGTGCAGGACTCCCACCGAATTACCCGGATACTGTTTGGTGACTGTTACAACAGCTCCGTTTTGTTGTTTTTGTGTGCTTTTGTGCGCGGCGTGAAGAGTATCTTGAACAGCATGCAGATTTGGATTCAATAAAGAATTACCTAGAAAAGAAAACGAATCAGGTGTCCTTAAACATTTAACAAGAAAAATCAATTCACGAATAAATGCGTTTGCTTTTCAGCAAGATTCTAGTCTAATCAGCGAGGTCAAATCAAACGTGAACGTTGCCAACCGACTTCATCAAGGGGCCATGACCCACAATTATTAAAGAAAACGATGATCTTCAGAGCATAAAAGCCTCTGCTTAAGAGCGGGGCTCTTTTGTGAAGACATACGCATAATCCTTTTTATCCCAGGGGTGTAGACATAGCTTACTTTTACAAAAGCCACAGGTCTTTGCACAACCATTCCTCAAGTAGAATGCATGTGAATTGAAGCTACAAAAGCCAGACCTCTTCCATGTTTCACAGTTTTTAAATGTGTCGTGACAATCTACAATAGAAAAAAACAACATCATTTGAGCATCTACTAAAAGGTCTGGGTTAGAGCTTGTCAACGAGGAGAAGGTCACAGTGGCTGGGTTTGCCTTTTGCATCAAATCCAGCACTTGGTTAGGGCATTCAAACACAATTTTGGCCCCCGGGGCGGGAATATGAACAAACTAATTTTCAAAAGTTCTCATGCCTGGAGTGCTGCCCGGAGGGATTGACTAACGCATAAGGGTAGGGTCAGGGTGGGGTCCGTTAGGGTGGGGTCAGTTTCCAGAGTGCATCATGACAGTGATGCCACTCGTTTCAAGAAAATTGAAAGTAACAATGTGGTGCATGTACTTTATAGCAATGATGAACAGTTAGGTTTACAAACTGTTGGCATTGCTCAAGATTTTTCATTTTTATTTGACCCACCTCTTGGTGCTGCACGGCAGTCTGGAAAGAAATAAGAAATCATTGCAACGTTAACACTAAAAACATTTTTCTTAGACTATCGCTCTCGTTTATAACAGAATACTGCGCGCTTACATTTCTTGTTATCTAATGCTGTGGATGGGAGGTTGCCTGTGTCATACTTCCCTGCAACCTACTTGGTTTTTTGAATTCCACACAACTTAGCTCTCATAAGAGATATGTTCACGTCAGGACAATTTAAGGAATTGGGTACGGATATGCGCTTTGCTTAGTGTGCAACGAGAGTCCCCCCCACGTCTCAAACCTCGCCGCCGCCTCTGTTAGTCGATTTAAGTATAAATTATCCTCGGCGGAGACACTCGGACCCAGACCTCGCGGGATTTGCTAGTAAAAGATGTTCCAAATTCAGAGCGACGTTTTATTTCTCGAGCTTTACCATTGTTCACCCAGTAAAAGAAGATCACCCTGTTAAGGTTAAATTCACACACTATATATCTCGACCCTAACAAGTATATCAAAGATGTACAAATAAAAGAAAATTTCATTGTTACAAGAATTGCTGCTGCCTATTTACCTACTTCAGTCTTACTTACCAAAGTTGAGATGCTTTGATCAATGTTCAGTTTGATACATACACAAATCGTTGAAAACAAAGCTACCTGTTACTGTTCCATAGTGTCTCCGCGGCATCTAAATTCCTCGTTGTGGCTAGATCCCTCATCAATAGAACAACTGGATTACTCTTAATTTTGACATAACCTTCGAGAATTCTAAGTTTCTGATTAAAACACCAAACGTTATTTGCGATCTCTGTGTCTCTTCGTTGTGGAATATTCGAAAACAGTTGCCGCATTTAAACATCGATTTTGTATTAATCTTTCAATTTGTTTTGTATTGTAGTTTTTAATCCTTTATATGAGTCTGTTAGTTTCCGCAGTATTAGCAGTTGTTCCCGGACGGTCATGATCAATAAATCGAATAAGTGTTATCGTAAAGTAGCTATTTCACTGTATATCTTAACCGGACAGAAATAAATATTTAAACACAGTTAATACATTCTTTACATGTACAGCTCACCTATTAAGACAAGAAACGAAGACAGAAAGATACAAAAGAAACACAAGCGAACCATGTTTGTTTGTCTCGGCCAACTTTAGCACGGCTATGTAAAGAAAACAAAACAATTAGGTGAAAACAGACGAAATAAACACGTATGAAATACTCGAACACAGAAACTAAACGGTAGCTAGTCTTTTAAAAGGTACATGTTGTTCACTTAGTGGACTTATTATAGTAAAAAGGGACTTATTGTAATAAAAAGGACAAAGCGTCTTACTCTCATGGCCTTTTACCTTAACACCAGTTGTTGAATTTTGTTATTCGATGAGGCTGGTGTTAATTTTTTCCTTGTTTGCGCGCAACCAAGTCTTTTCTGTCGAAATAAACTTTTTTCTCCTCTCAGTCAATAATCAAAAGAGCGATTCTTGATCAGAACGTCCTGCCTTAGAGGGCAGTTTGACTGGTGACCCGAAGTGACCAGTTCTGTCAGAGGACAATTCGAACACAAGAAAGCCTCGTGGTTTGAGATTGTTGCGATGTCATATTAAGAGGGATTTCTTACAAAAACCATGTTTTAATCGTAAAACTGTGCAATAATCCACCTGAACAGTTTTGAAGCAATTCCTTCAGGTCCCTGAGGGTCATTTTTTTTAAATTCCACTGCGCATCCTCTCTGCGCACGCTCTTACAAGAGACGAATTATTCCCCATGGCCGGCTGAAGCTCACGAGAGAAGTACAAGGGCATATTCTCGTAATAATATAATAATAATAATATAGATCAATTTCTATAGCGCATTTCCATGTAAATGCTCTAATGCGCTTTACAACACTGTGCGGGGGACTTTTCCAGACTGCCGGCGGCAGTTTACAATTAATAAAGGAGAAATTTTTACAGATGCCCCCTCCCCCCCCTTCCCAGTAAACAGGCCAGACCACATCACAGTAATCTCGTGATGTGGGTTCTTTAACGTCCCTTGCCGAAATTAACTAATTGATAGGTGCAGGAGACGGGACCTCCGGCTTTACGTCCTATCCGAGAAGACGAAGCAATGTGAGTGAAGCGTCTTGCTTAAGGACACAACGTCAAGCCCCAGCCAGGACTTGAACCCGGGCCATCTGACCTAGAGTCCAGCGCACTGACCACTGGACTACTCACGCCTCACAACTCGTAACATTACTACTCGTAACATTCGCTTACACCGTAAACTAAGCTACAAGTATGTATGAAGCCTGCAGAGGGGAGACAGCAAAGTGCTGTTCATTCCTCAGTATTACCATGCGTAGCCTTGCTGTAGTTGCCATAGTTTCACTCATGCGCGCACATTGTAAAAAAGAGTGCTTTTCTTCTGCATTTAGATGGCTCGTCAGAGAGGTAAAGAATGCTGTAGTTCGTGCACCAAATTCATATTATGACCACAACTAAACATCCTATACGATTTATAACTAAATAGACACACGGAAAAATGGATCCTATTTGCTTCATACAACGTACAAGGTCGTAAAATGAGAAAGAATTCCAGTCTTGCATCGCACCGCTCGACTTTTCGAGCTTCATGTTTCCGCTTAAGTACTTTCAGTAAAGTATCTAGAGGCGGGTATATGGATAAATATAGAAGATGTTACCGCCTCTAACCGAGGACCAGTACCGGCTGTTTTTAATCCAAAACAACTGGGTGAGGCAACAACTTTCAAAGTGCCGGTCTCATACCAGCGACATGACTTAATTAATGAACGTTAACGCATAGTCAAGGGCATAGTCAGATGAGCAGAGGTTAGAGTTTGTCGCTGGCGGCTAAGATCCCAATTCTTGTTGGTACCAAAAAGGTATCGGTCACCTATTCTCGTCACCATATAGTTCTCAAGAAAGCTTTGTAGAGTTACGTCCATGCACTTTTTTCCTTCTCTTCTCTAATAGCCCGGCGTGGTCGTTAACACCCCTGAAGTAATTAAAGGTCTCTTAGAGGAATCTCATGGCTGATCTTCGATAGAACTTTGCAAAGAGGTCACAGGATAAATGAAGACGGTATTCATATGTGACGAGTTAAGAACCAGGAAATATCTAGTTTCCCTTAAGGTTTCGAACCTCAGACCTTCCAGAGGACTCGAGCCTCTGCGTGACCTTTGGAGTTTAAGATCATAGGTTCATTTCACGGGTAGTAAGTTATTTGCAACACCATTCTTTTTGTTTCATCATGAAAATACTTTTATTAACACACGAAAAATTATGTAAAATAAATTAATTTGTCATGACTATGTTACAAACAGCAGTTTTGCGCTAGTCCTACAGCTTAACTTCACTAACATACTGTGTTCAGATAATACTGAATACATGCGTAGTCGCCCCTTTGATGTTTCGTCTACACTCTTTTCTAGGTTTTATTACGCCTCTAACCTTTCAGCATGTTTAGTATGCTAACAAAATGGTAAAATTTGTGCTAAGCGCAGAAGTTATTAAAGCGCTATTTACGTTATTCAAAATCTCTTTGTTTTGTTTCCAAAGTCCATGCAAGAAGTACTAAACAGATTTCATTTATTCATCCCGATGACGATGAGCTCGATGATGCTTTTTGTGATCTGACTTGTCCTTCAGCTTCTTCTCAGACTCGCCTTTAGACTTATCCTCCATTTCCTTTTCGGATTTGTTCTCTACCTCCTTCTCCGTGTCATGTTTACTATCACTGTCGGACTCTTTACCTTCCTCATGAGACTTATCATTCTTCTCCTCAATTTTATCTTCCTTCTTGTGTTGTGCCTTTGAGGACGACTCTTCCTCTATTACCGTCTCTTTATCCTTAGCGGGAACCGCGCTCGGCGTGATTTGTGGTGGAACTGTATCTGTCACGTTAAAACGAAAGGTTAGCTAGATTTTGTTCATTGCGCAGTTCTCACAGATTGCATTCGTCGACGTCCAAATCTTAGAAGTAGAGAGGAAATATAAACAAGAACTTTCTTTTATTGCAGTATGTCATCTGGATACCTTCCTCGACAGCAAAACGGTGAAAAGACAAACTGAAATCTTAAAATCGCAAATTTAAAATCACACCTTACTAAAGTTAAATAGCCGGATGACGGATTCTTATATGTGTACCAAGTTTAAGAAAGGGACCTATACATCAGATTTCTTAAGATAGCTTTAAAATGTCTGTTTTATTATCAGTTCAAAGGCAATTATTAAAAGTGCTATTCAAGCAATAGAATTCTATCCAAGTATGATCGGCTTGTCTTTCATAAAAAAAGACAACAATGACAAAAAAATCCCAATATCAACTCACTGGTTAGAGCGGCGGTGGTAGGCTTAGCGGGAGTAGGGGCTCCAGGAGCAGGTTTAGCTCCAGCGGCAGCAGGCTGTGCCGGTCCAGATGGAGATGCACTACCTGCTGGGGGAGCCGCTGGGGTAGGTGCTGCTCCACCCGCAGCAGGAGCAACGCTTGCGGAGGCAGCAGGGGCAGTTGTCGCTCCGGGTACAGCCACGGGTGTAGTTTCAGGCTTCGCGGTTGATGCACCTGGTGCCACGGTGGTTGCTGCAGCGCCAGCAGCGGCAGGAGCAGCAGTGGCCGTTGCAGGTTTTGCAGTCGGTGCAGCAGGTGCCACAGTGGTTGCTGCAGCGGCAGATGCACCAGTGGCTGTTACAGGCTTTGGGGTCGATGCCGCTGGTGCCACAGTTGTTGCTGCCGCTGCACCAGCTGCGGGTGCAGCACCAGTAGTTGCCGCTTGTGTAGTAGGAGCACCTGGTGCCAAAGTAGTCATTGGTGTTTTGGCAGCTGCGGGTGCCACACTTACAGTTGCTGGTGCCTTAGTTGTTCCCGCCGCACCAGCAGGTGGTGCTGCAGTGGTCACTGCTCCTGCAGCAGGGACTGGTCCTGGAGCTACGGTAGTTGATGCTCCAGCTGCAGGGACAGTGGCTGGTGCTGCAGTGGTTGTTGCTTCAGCTGCAGCTGGTTGCGCAGGTGGAACCACAGCTTGTCTTTGATGGCTTTGGTCATGGTGCTGCTTCCTCTCTGACTTGTGATGTTTTGGATGTTTTAGTTTTATGCTTTTAGCAGTGAGATCTGATACAGCCACTGATTAAAAAAAAAAAAAAAACGTTAGTCCAAAACAAATCAAACGAAACAGCAAATATTTTTAACACATATGATCTCTATCTATGATTTTCTGGAAATGGCAGTGGGCATTTAAACCTTATAAATATAAAGCATTCAACAAAACAAAGTAATCGACTCAGTGTTTACCTAGCAAAATAGTCGCCAGAAATAGAGTAGACTTCATGTTACTTTCTCAGTGATAACCTTCAAAGAAAGGATCACAATATAGAATGGTTAGCCATATGTACCTGCACAACATCTATACATTTTGATTCGCATCTTAAGACGAATAAAACATTACCTTTGATGTGAAGGAAGCCGCAAAACACCAAGTCTACTCGAATTTAGAGTGGATAAGAATTTGGTTGTGAAGATAGTTACGGATTGAAAATAACTGACAAAAGTTTTGCCTTAATTTTAAGAGATAAACAACCTTTCCTTAAGGCCAGGGAAAATGCGTGCGTTAAAGAAGTTCTCACTTAACTTTTTTATTGATGGTTAGACATTCGAAACTTAGGTCTTCTCATGCCAATCAGTTTTTACTGTAATCAGTTTTTGCTATCATCAGAAACTCTCAGAAGAACATAGTGCGCTAACGTCCTGATGCAAGATATTAGACTAACCCGCGCTGAGAACTGGTAAGTCTGTGAGTTACGATCCCACACAGAAGTAAGATTTGGTTTCTTTGATTATGCTAATTTATGGTATCGTTTCTGGATCCTTCGTCGCAAAAAATCACGTTTCCATTCAGTTCAAATTAGCCGTCTTTGGAATTTCTCTAGATTGAATAATCAAGCCGTGTACAATAACGAATGGAATCAAAGTCTAAAACAAGTATCAAGGACAATAGAGGAAAATTAAAAGTTGTCACTCGTTTTGTAGTGATCGTTCGAGCTTGCCTGTTTCCAAAGCTTTTGCTTTATTCTAAAGCTGTAACTAAGACCAAACTAGTGTAAAAGAATTCTACCGCGCGTACACTGCCAAGAAAGTTTTCTCCTGGTGGTAAAAGTTCTCGACGAACAGAGCTTAGGCTAAAGCTGAGTCTCCTTTTGCTACAGGAAACAAGTAAGTTTTTTTCCTTCATGGCTTTAACTCTTTACGTTTTATCGCACTGACAAGGTCTACTTAACCACTTAATGAGCTACAACAATATAAAATGGATTGTGGTATCTTACAGTTCCATTCGTTAGAAAATGGTAACATTCGAATCAAGTTAATTAAGACATGTTAGCAGGGATATATTATTGAAATTTTTTCCACCCTTAGAATCCATACACTCCAATCCCCCTTCATTATGAACTGACAGAAAAAGGAGGGGCAATTCGAGTATAAAAAATAAAAATAGAGACGATAAATCAAACCAAAAGATTACAAAATTAAAAAAAAAAAAAAAACAATTCATAGATGAAATACAACAGAGATTCTCCCGCGAACGAAATGAAATGGAAACTATTTTAATTCCTCGTAGATGATCTTACAATATGGTCTGTTTCTCATGTAACCCTAATAAAGGGGCTTGCCGATGAATTCTTGGGTGCCCATATGATTGGGTCTCCAGCTGCGAAATTAGAACCCGACAGGGGGTCCAATCCACACAAAAACCATCGAATTTTCTTTAAATGACTAACGACTGACATTTTGTTTTTTAATCGTTTCTTTGTGTCGCTTTCAAAATCTATACTTGAATTTAACTCAAATAGCTTTATGTATTGTTGTTTGTTCAAAATGTTTCAGCGATGTCATTGTTTGCTTTGTTGACAAGCTCAATCTCGAAGCTGAGTGAGACTCAATGACATAAAATAAATGGTTTCAGTAAAAGTAGAGAACTTACCTTCCTGGCCGGATATGTCGCGAAGTTTTCATGTGATGTTAATGTTAAGTGATATGTATTGGAATAACTGTTCCTCGGGCTAAGGCGAAAAATCGCCAATACTTGAGGTCATCTTGACTCACGACTGAATTCTTAATTTGAACACTCTCCGGTGATTGCATCACGAAGTTTTCAAAACTGAACTTGTTACAGACCGTATGTGAATGCGTACCTCTGGTCGAAAATCTGATTTTTACTCGACAAAAATCGTCACATATTCGATGATATATGTGAGATGTTGCAGTGTCCTGGCAAGCTAATTCACTCACCCTCGTCGATAAAAACCCCTATAAAAAAGAAATAACCTTTGTCAGGATCGTGAAAGGTCTTTTGACACCTGCCCATCATATTTTTTCCTCGCCTCTTAAGTAGACGTTTCCAGACGGCAGAGAGACGAAGTAATGGCTTGATTTTCACGGTGTTTCATCTATGTTTACTCCAGTGTGTCATTTTTAGGACAAAGTACAACTGGGACTGAAAATGAAATAAGGGACTTATTCGTGGCATTGGTCACCAGGAAGGGTTTCACGCTCAACCCGTGGCACTGATATACCTGCTGACACCTCCCCTCCGGCATTCGCTGCTTAGTCCTTTGTACTCCATCGCACGGCAAACCGGAAAGTTTCCCTTTCGGTTTGATAGCAGAGTCAGCGCTATCCTGATTGAGATAGACTTTTTGGCGCTCAAAATGAAAAGGAAATATGCTAACTAATACTCCATTCGAAAAACGACGGACATATAGCTCTTTGAAAGTGACGAGTTCAGCCTTCGAGTTAACGATACTTTATTCCCAAACGCGATACAAACCATGGCTTGAAAAAGAAAACTGAGTTTGCTGACCTTAAGTGAAGCGATGCGACGTTTGGATTCTTTTTTTTTAGAGCGCTAAAGATAATTTTCAAGTGTTGGTATCTTCCTACAGCATTTTTCAATAGAAGATTTTTGTCTAAAAATCTTACAATTTTAAACATAAAACTACGCATTTTTCTGGCTGTCAGATCCATAGTAACCACAGTAGCTCATTACTGGTGAACAACTATTCACTGAACAATGGTGAATTTCGTACGTGCAAGAAATTTGTACGTTTTTCGCTTACAAACAAAAATTTAGCATTTATTTGATTATAGGGAGGTCTTGAAATTCTCCTGGTCACTTTTCCCTCGCTTTTTCTACCCCTTGAGGTGGTTTATTCTCCTCTCACCGATATCCGAATGAAATGAAGGTCAAAGGGCTTGCGACAGAAACCGATAAGAACCTGAGACCAAACTAACGCAAGGGAAGGTTACTAAGGAAAGCAACATGGTGGATGAGTTGGCGCTGCAGATCAGAATCATCAAATTGGCTACAAATATGACCCATGAGATCAGTGGGTGGTAACGAGATGGAAATACCTCTTCCATGCAAGGAAACAAGAAACTTAGCGGGCCATCTAGGAGCCGCACGAGCCGTCAGATTTAATTACGACGGCAACTACTGCCTGACATGTGGCAGCGATAAACTTTTGAAACTGTGGAACCCTCACAAAGGTTCTCTCCTAAAAACGTACAGTGGACATGGATATGAAGTACTTGATGCTGTGGGATCCAGTGATAATAGTCGGGTGGCTAGTTGTGGAGCTGATAAATCTGTTATACTTTGGGATGTGGCAACTGGACAAATTATACGCCGCTTTAGAGGACACACTAGTGTAAGTTGCAAAGCAATATTCATTCAGTTCCATTTCACCACTTGTTTTAATTTTTGTTTCCCTTTTCTTATACTTCCGAAAATTTGTGGAAATATTTTCACACAGCGCCATACCTCATTTTGCAAACAGTTCTTGGATAAAGAAAACTCTGGCAAAAACAAAAACAACAGATTGCATTTTGGACTACAGCTTTGTTTTAGAATTAACCCCATAAATCCCACGAGTGACCAAGACAGAATTTCTCCTTACAATATCAATACAATACCAAGCAGACAAGTGGTGAGAAGAAAGAAAAATATCAATTTGGGGATTTTAGGTTGATCCAATACAAAATTCTCCAAACCAACATCATAAGAACTGTGTGGCAGACAGTAAAGAGAATCACTAATGAGATCTTGGGAATGAAAGGGTTTTAATAGTGTGGGCTTATGTATATACAAATTTCTTTCCAAACTCATTATTGTGCTTTATTACATTCATGTACACTTGGTCGATCTTCAAATCATGTGTACAGGAATGATTTCAGGCCAAATTGCACTCTGCCCAGTTTATTTTCCATTATTGTAGCAGGCACAAGAAATTGGTAATGATTGGTGATAAGCAAAATCCAATTAGGATCTCTTGGTTGTCCTTATCACCATTGTAGCATATAGATGTGCAGTTCCATCATAGGAAAAATGGAAAAAGCGTTTGATCGAATACTTTAAATACAAGAGGAGCTTTTTGTTACAAAAAATGGTTTAAGTGTAAGCAGCTTGAAGTGTAAGATAACTGTTATTATAGGTAATCTTGGCAAACAAAGTCTGATTACAGCAAAGGAGATGGAGGGGTTTTGATTCAAATTTATCGTTTAATGGTGCTTGTTCTCATAGCCTTTTTTTAAGATTACATATTGGAGTTGCATGGGGGAAATTACATTTTGATCATTTCTGAGACGTGTAAGGTTAATGTTACTGGTAATTTTTGTTTATTTCTAGAAAGTGAACTGTGTGAAGTTTAACCAACCAGACAGCACAGTATTGATATCTGGTTCATATGATGCCAGTGTACGGTGCTGGGATTGTAAATCACGTAGTCCTGAGCCAATACAGATTCTTGATGATGCCAAAGACAGTGTACCTTCCTTGTCTGTGTCTCAACGTGAAATTCTGTCTGGGTTAGTTCTGCAACTGTTACAGGGTATTACATATAACTGAAGCAGTTTCCCTGCTAACTCCCTTGCCCTGAGC